GAAAGAAAAGGCTTCAATTTGTCAGTCAACAACTGTCAAGATCAATCCATCTTCAGTGGCATCGGAACATCCCAGGGGATCAGCAGATCGTGTTCCACAAAGCCCTTGCAATCAAATCTCCCCAAGTGCAACTTTTCCTGAAAAATAGAGAAGTACCTTCCAGGTGTAGGAACAGCTGCTGAACCAGGATTTCCTGCACAAACTCTGTATGACCAGCTCTCACACCCCACTTTCTGAGAAACAATTCCAGCAACCTGCAGGTAACAAGGAACACTGAACAATGTGGATCCACAAACCTTTGCTGCTCCTGCAAATGATGGCTCCGAACACCTTGTAATAAATCAAAAAACTTTATTTTGAAGATATATTATAAATGTACAGCACACACAACATCAGTGTCTGGGGTTATGTGTGAGCAGGTTTAGAGCCTCAGCATTCATTCCAGCCCTGGCCGTGGGTTCCACATCTCCACACAAAACAATTCCAGGCTGAACAGGTCTGGCTTTGCCAACACCTCCCTGACTTCCAGGAATATATTTCAGAACAGCATCTGCTTAAAATGATCACAAATTAGCAGCATTCCTTGCTTTTGGCCTGGAGGATTTCTGCAGGGAGCAAATCCTGCTGGTTTTCCTGCTCAGGGAGAGGTCAGCGACCCACACGAGCGTGGCCAGAATGAATCCCGAATTCCACAGGCTCGGGGATGTCTGCCCTAGTTTAAGCTTCAGAAAAGTAATGTTACACCTTAGGAAGAGCTGTGCATGCCACACACCGGCATCAGAGCCAGATCAAAGTTATCCTATGCAGTAGCTAATTGCTGTATACACAGGTGAAATGAGAAAATGTGAAGTCAGTACCTTGCAATGTAATTTTACTGGTGCTGCCTCGTGGGAAGTGCTGGGTAGCAAATCACATTCGTGTACAGTTCATTAAGCCACGATAAAAATATGAAAATTAAAAATCTCTACAGGCCTCTGTTACCTGCTGCAACAGAGACACTTGGGTTTGTGGGGCTTTGTTTAAAATGTGATCCAATTTCTCCCTCTCCCCAGAGCACGATATAAAACTATACCCAAATTCAGTAAGAATTTAATGCATTTACATTTACTGAAGTTCACATGCTGCAAACAGGATCTGCATCGAAGATCTTCGAATCTAGGGCAAGAGGTCCTTAAAAAAACCCTTTTGCTACACTGGATGTGGGGATGGAGGCGAGAACCACCATGAGAACATTCACGTGGATGTAACACCCCGTGCGGGGAGGTGGGGATTGTCCCCCTGCCCTGCCACAGCCAGCACACATCCTTCCAAGGAGGAGCTGTCCCAGAGAGGGGGATCCAAGCAGGATCTCCAGCCCCACAGCTCCAGGACTCTCAGTCGGATGGAAATACCAGCTGGAAGCGCTGTTGTTCTGTTGGTTAATAAAAATGGTATTTATTATTAAAAGTAGAAAACCAGGATGGTACCTTTGGATGGTTCCTTTCCTTCCTTTGTGCACTGGCTATCCTGTGCACAAACCTTTGGGAAAATTGCCACTGGAGCAGAGCTCACAGTAACCTGTGCCCCTTCCACAGGCAATGTTTGCTGACAGTGTCGCTTTACATTCGTTTGGTGCGATGCTTGTTTTGGTGTGAACGCCTAAAAAAAGTAATTGTAACAGTCCTAACTAAAAAGGATTTCAATAACCACTACAGAGTTGCTTGGATATGAAAATCGATCTTTGAAATGCAAGTTTGGTTCCAGGAGAGAAGGAAAGAAAGGGGAGGAGGGGTCAAGCTTAGGGTCGGGTCTGTGACAGGAGCTGCCAAGAAGCAGCCAGGAGCTGGAGGCCTTGGAACTCGTGCAGGAGAGAACCTCACACTTCCCAGAGGAGGAATGCCCTGATGGCTGCTTTGGGAACTGTGCAAGTCAATTCTGCAGCTGCATGGAGAGCACAAACGTCCTTGAAATGGTCTAAAGCCCAGCAGGGCGATCCCAGGTGACCATTCCACGGAGGGATGCAGCAATCCTAAAGGAAGACTTGGGGCCCTGCTCACCAGGAGAGGAGGAATGGCAGATTCTTTGGGATGGACCAGGGAGAGAGGTTCAGCAGGAGAGTTACACCAGCTCGGGCTCACAGGTCAGAGCAATCAAGGTCCAAGCTGTAAAGTAGCCACTGGCCTATTTTCCAAATACATCCCTTTAAATGCATCCCCCTAAAAAGAGAGTATAAATATGAAGCCCTGAGAACACACTTCCACATAGTACATTGCCATTAAAAATATCAGTGTTTTGATGACACAGTTATAAGTTAGATATATTTCAATAAATAGCTGGCTACTTGCAAGAGGCCTGCAACATCAAAAGGTACAAGATTGTCTGGCTACCGATGGGGCAAAGAGCAGGAAGTGTAAGAATCACACTATTAGTCACCCACCACCCCATCCCTTTCCTGCTCCATCTCACAGGCTTCCAAATATTCCCTTGACCATGTTAAGAGAAAATTAACTCTGACATGTCTGTGCTAGTTTGTACTTGAACACCCGAGCTGCAAGCACAGGACTCGAGCCTGTAAATCCTCACTGCTGGGAGCATTTTCTCCTCACAAAACCTGCTGGTTTTATTTAACAAAAATCTTTCCTGTGTGTTCAGGGATCTCTCACTGGCCCTCAGAGCAGATCCCCCAGTCCTGCACACAAGGACAGCACAGTTCCTCACCAGGCAAAGCCACACACATTCCTTGTGCCCCATGGCTGCACGTTCCAGCTCCAGAGTGGTGACACCTCAGCTTTTGCAGGTTTTCTAAAAATTGAGCCAATCTGTGCCTTTCCAAGCACAGTGGACTCAACTCCCCTCTGCATTTTCTGGGATGAAGCAGCAATCCCAGCCCTGGGGTGACGGGACACAGCCCCTGGTGTAATTCACACCCCAGCACCTCTGATGTCTTGATCAATTCCTTCAGCCTCAGGGGTGTTTTTGCTGGGTTTAAATCAACTCCTGTGCCTTGCTGCAAACACCACAGCTCCTAAATTCTGGTCTCCTTCAGCTTTTGGCCTCTGCAAACCTCATTTCTCACAAGCCAAGCAGGGCTCTGTCACAGCCATCCCAAACAACACCTCAGCTGTGGAAGTGTTGAGCTCTGGAGTAACAAAACCCAGAAATAACCACATCTTCTCAAGCCTCCCAGCACCCTAAAATGCAGAATTCCTTTATCCCTATGGTCTCCCAACTGCTGCTGCTGAACCTGGGCATTCTCACCCTTTGTCACATAGGATAACCCATTTTACTGATGCTTTTCCCCACCCTTCATAACCAGCTCAGGGGCACTGAGGGCTGCTGGCATTCCAAGGGAGGCAGCTCTGAGCACTTTTATCCCTCTGAGCTCCACAGTCCAACCATGGACTCCTGCAATCCAACCCAGCACTTCCCAAGCTGGGAATTTTACATTCTTCAAGGGCCACAACTGCACCAAAGGATCTGTTTGCTATGTCTGAACCTCTCCTTATCCATTCAGAAGCCAAAAAAACTCCCACCAAACTACAGGGTAGTTTTTTCCAACTTTGCCTTCTAAAAACACTCATTAAAAGGAGTATTAACCACAATCCTGACTGTAGAGAAGGACATTTCTCTCTAACATTAAGAGCTTCAAGTAAAAGAGTCTTCTGGTATTATTACAGGCAAAAAGCTTCAGAAGTAAGCAAAAAAAAAATTGGATTAAATAATCAAAACCTTTCATAAGACCACAATATTCAGTCACAGCTTCTCATGAGTAGCTGTGCTGAGCTCACTGGGGTGCAGGATCAGGCTCCAGGACAAGGTTATAATTTCATGTCATGGTGTCAGTCTATTCTTAGCAAGAGCCCACAAAAATGGTTTTACTGTCCAATTTGAACAGAAGAAACATCTCTATAAAGCTTGGAATTTCTACATGTAGAAGTAAATATTTCAGCAGTCATCAGCTGTAAAGTTTAATATGAAATTACAAAATTAAAAAAAAAAAAAAAAGAATCCTGGGATAGCAAGACAAGATAAAATCTCAGGCTGTTTTGATTTCCCCACCCTTCATCTTAATTATGAGAAATTGGCAACTTCAGTGCCTCAGCTGCATAACAGCATAGAGCAGATGCCAAGTTCAGGCCAAAACTTGTTGTAGGGTTTCGGGTTGCATCTTGCTGAGTTTTTGTTTAAAAAAGCCCCAGCTGCACATGAATCCCTCCCACACCTCAGAGGGGACTTGCAGAGCTGCTCGGGATCTCCCTGTCTGACAGGACACCTCTGTGCTGCTCCAGCACAGGGTCTCCAGCTGCTTTTTCTGCAAGATTTGCCTCTCCTGCCTTTCCTGCAGGGCTGTGAAGCACAAGGCATGGCAGGGATGGTGACAGATGTCAATCATGTTTCACTAAGTTGAAAATAAATCCCTTTTTTTTAGCAGACTGCTAAAAAAGTAAACACCTGCAGGGCCCAGTCATAAACACCAGCTGGATTCACAGTGAGTTCTGTTCTTAATAGCTCAGAATTCCTCTCTGAAATCTCAAGTCAGTCTTCTGGCAAATTAGGAAAGACCAAACCTGACATTCTTGGTATGACCATGGTAAAAATAAGTATAAAGAAAAACCCACTTCTAACTCAAAGATAGCAATTTCAAGCGTGCTTTAAATACCTTAAACAAGATAAAAACCTGTGTGGTTCTGCTGCTTTACAGACCAACAGCAACCCCCCATGCAATTCAGC